CTCTCTCTCTCTCTCTCTCTCTCTCTCTCTCTCTCTCTCTCTCTCTCTCTCTCTCTCTCTCTCTCTCTCTCACGCGCGCGCGCGCGTTCGTCCTCCCTTTCACACCGCTTAACAACAACAGATGGTGGATCGTCCTTCTCCCGTTCGCCCTCCTGCTTCTCCTGCCACTCTTCCTTTTCCTCCTCCTGCTGCTCCTCCTGCTCTTCCCCCCTTCCTCCTCCCGCTCCTCCACACGACGACGACGCTTGCTTCCCGTTCCCGCGATGTCCCCCCGACCCGGCACTACCGCTGCGCCTGCTGCACTTCGCTCCCGCCACCCCGAGCACAGGAAACGGCGTGCAGCGTAGTCCCACCAGCCCCACTTGCATACACGATGCCACAATTTCCCCGCCCCTCACTGCCCACGTCCCGCTGCTGCGCCCCGCGTCGATTTTCCCTTGCTCACGTCCGGCTGCCGCACCGCGCTGGTGACCGTAGCGCCGCAATTTCCAGGGCCTCTTGGTCTCCGCCCCTGGACCTCGCATCCGCCCTGCGCCCACCCGTGTCGTTTTTTGCCCCCCCACGTGGCTTTTCGCCTGGTTCGCTCTTCCCTGCCCGCCTCAGCCTGGGCCTTGCCCCTGCACCGGTTCGCCTACCCGGTTCCACCCCTCCACAGGTTTTGCTTGGGCCTGCGATCGAGCATGTCGGCTGGACCTTTACAACCACACGTCCGGCTGCCGCACCGCGCTGGTGACCGCAGCGCCGCAATTTCCAGGGCCTCTGGGCCTCCGCCCCCTGAACCTCGCATCCGCCCTGCGCCCACCCGCGTCGCTTTTCACCCTCCCGCGTGGCTTTTTGCCCGGTTCGCTTTTCCCTGCCCACCTCGGCCTGGGCCTCGCCCCTGCACCGGTTCCCCTACCGGTTCCACCCCTCCACGGGTTTCCCTTGGGCCGACATGCCCTGCGTCCCTCCCCCTACTTCCAAATCCCCACCTCTCCCCCGATACCGATCCTCACCTCTCTTCCCCGATCCCGACTCCCTCCTCCAACCTTCGTCCCCCGACCTCCGCCCGGCGATTTCCCTCCACATCCCGGCTTCCTTCCCCCCACTTCCCCCCATCGATCCCCACCTTTGTCTCCCGATCCCGACTTCCCTCTCCGATCCCATTTCTACATCCCGACCTCTACTTCCCCCGATTGCGACCTCCCTGCCTTGACAACTTTTCCTCCTCCTCCTGCTCGTCCCGCAGACCGCGCCCTCACCCATCGACAGTCTGAGCGGATGCTCTCTCTCTCTCTCTCTCTCTCTCTCTCTCTCTCTCTCTCTCTCTCTCTCTCTCTCTCT